GGCAAACATGACATGGGCCGAATACTTCCGCGAGTCGTTTGTTGTACACACGAGTATAACACCCCTCGTGAGCTCGACGCTGCCTCGCTCAATCAACTTCCTCTTCCCTCGGATGATGTCACGTTAAACGCAATTTATATGACACACCGAGCCTCCACAGTCATAAATTAAATTTTGTCAACAGTAAATGAAATATGTTTAACTACCTAAACCTAATTATATTATTATAAATGGCCTTTTAAAAATTCTTCACGATCGTATCGCAGATTGATTTAATGGTGAACATTGTTGTTATTATTGAATAGATTGTTAATTATAATTTAAATGCTACAGGGTACTGCTATAAAAAATATAAACCTAACTACAAATAAATTACTATTTTGTGTCACTTTCAGTTATGTCACTTCCTTTTGGTAAATGGACAAATCTATCTTTTAACATAGATAGTGATTTAGTTTAAACCTTAGGTCTAAAACAAGTGATATCCTTCTTGTTGGCAATAATTACTTACAATACTTTTATTATATGTACGGTGACTTTAATATTTGGTTAGTAATTCATAATATTCAAAAAGCTACCGGACCGACCCGAATAGGCCGCGTAACTCCCATCATTCATTTCTTTTATCATCTTTATGCCTAAGCTTAATATTGGAGAGTCGCTAAAGGTATGCGATTTACTTGGCCAAATTACTTTTATATTTCTTGAGTTTACAAATTCTATATTTTAGTTAAGGATATTATAAAATTACTTTTATAAGAATAAGATAATTAACTGGCGAAAAGTAATAAGAGATCCTACAATGAAGATAGAAGCAGGTTATAGGTAAGACAAACTGAAAAATATAACCAGTCGTTGCAAATATAAATATCATATAAAGGTCATTATGTATAAAAAAGTCGGCATTGACGGCATTGACGGACAGCAACTGTGCAAGTTACCTGCAATTATTTGCTTATTGTAAATGTTTTATTGTATTGTAAAAATACAGCACATAGGTAATAACGATTCTGCGGAATTTGTACCGTATTTAAAAAACCTTTATTGTACTACTAGTGTTCTTAAATAAGATAACAAAATAAATACCTATAGTTATTTTGTAACTAATGGCGTTACAATTTGTATTTACAATAATAGGTATATGTGGTAATATTTAAGGTTCAAACTTATAGTCGAGTCGAGAGTCGACCATAAATATTTTAGTACATATATTATTTACTCTTTTCATTATTGCCGCTTACACAATCTACTTGATTTAAAATTATCAATAAGAGAATAGAGTCTCATGAATGAAATATCTTTCTAACCATTAAAGATAACGAATTTTACAAAAATGCTAAAATATTAGAAATTTAAAAATGCTTTCAGTTTTCAAGACTACATAACCTTTTCTTCCCCTTTTTAATTCCTCAGGCGAAAGGAAATTGATTGTTTATCTGCGTCTTTTAAAATACCAGAGTGATTACTTTTATTGAATGAGATAGTTGTCTTGTGTGTGTTGTATAAAAATAACCTGTACTTCCAAGTATTTACAGAAAAATATAATAAATCTAGCAATAGGTTTAAATTAATATTTCATCAGAATTATTAAAAGTTATTTCAGTGACTAATTTAACATTTTTGAAATGCACAAATGAAATAGTTTATATTTGAAATGGTTTGCAGTTGAATGCGTAAAATGAGCATAATAAAGTGTGCACTCGTATTCCCATATAAGCAATAATGAGGGCGCGCTGGGAGCGGTCGCCGGCAGCCCGCCCTCCTCCACCGCCGCCCGTGTCGATAGCACCCGTATGTCTATTATGCCCGGGCCATATTCTATGCCTATCCATTCACTGCAATGAAAACTATTAACGAACGAATAAAACAAGATTTTTTTAAATTTTATTCCAAATAACATATTTTAATATCAGTTTGGTTGACTTTGTTTTCGGTAATTGTACTTACATGTACCTTACAATACTAGCTGTGGTATAAATAGACTAAATGAAACTATTGTGAACAAAGACTTCTGTGTAATTAATGTGCAACTTATCAGGCAAAAAAAACATAATTCATTGGGCTATTTTCTCGAACTGACTCAACAAATAGGCATTAATTCTAAAAATGATTTATTTGAGTTCATTTGCCTATTTTCACAATAGGTAAAGTACAGATTTTTTCTATTCTTGGATTCATATATTTTATCTCATGAAAAGGCCAAATGTTTAGCTAATATATTGTACCATATATTGGCATGTTATGAGCAACTACGAGATATGTATTGTACATTTTATATAACTGTAGGTTATAATATTCTAAGTAAATGTCTAAACTATAACTAACTTATTAAACTAAATAACTAACTTTTAATGTAAACTTTAATTGATTGATGTAGGTACATAATATTTTATTGAAGGATCCACAATTAATCTGATAAAAAATGTGTGTTTGAAGTTGGCAACTAACGATCTTGCATAAACACTTGTTAATGAAGCTATTTAAGACACAACACGTAGGAACATTTGAGGCATGCCTTGAAGGTATCTTATACACGTAACTACCACCGCAGCTACAGGTGGGCGAACTCATGGCCTACATATAAAGCCGAGACCAACTTTACGACTTCCCCATAAATTCCTACGCCATTCTTGAAGTTCAGTAAAAGTGATGAGTACATTTTTCAACGACTTCTATAAGGGGAAAGTTCTCAATTGGACTGTATTTTTATATCACATCTATATGTTATACACGAGTATCTTCGCCAGTTCTAAAACGATAACCAAGGGACATCCAGGTACCCAGTTATAAACAATAAAAAATTGCAATCACTTTTACAACAATGATAATAATGTGTAAGTAGAGTAGAGTTGTAGAGTATTTTAATTATACTTAGGAACGTATATTATTATACTTATTTATCTATTCAAACAAAAACTATAACTGTTACAATTGCCAATACTATTTATTATTTAATTAAATGAAATTACAGTTAGAGGTTCAGATTCTAAGTATAAAGTCAATACGAAGTCTAAAGGGTTACAATTGCTAACAGTAGATACTACACACAGTACAACACAGTTTGCATTATCAATTGTCAAATGGGTGATATAAAATTGTAAACTTCTTAATTTCTATCCATTTAAAATTAAAAGAGAATTCCCTACATATATCTTATGTGTATTGGCTTATCATTCTGTTTACAAATGGTTAGCCTTATTTATTATTAATAATAGTATAGAATTTATGTTCACTAAATCCTTTATATTTTTTTTTATTAATTTAACCATCCCCCCTGGCATATTGGGTAAAACAAAATCATTGTTAAAAAGCAGAAAGAAAAGAAACAATTGCATCAACATTACATAATACTACATAGCATGGCATTCACAGTCTAATAATTGAAGTAGATTGAGGAAGCTATTCTCTGTCCACAATGTGTTCCGAACTGAAAAATACGGAAATGAACCTACACAGAAAACAGAAATAGTGTAGCGACTTAACGATTATCTTGATAAAAAGATTTTATATCCCAGATTTCTCAAAACATGTGACAAACAATTTTATATTGAGTCGCGGGAACAGCTTTTCCGCGACTTCATCCGTGTAGAGTTTAACTTTATTTTTCTAAAATAAAAGTAGCCTAAATTACTCCTTATTACATCAGTTAGCTGCCAAAAAAAGTCCCGTTAAAATCGGTCCAGCCATTTCAGAGACTAGCCGGAACAAACACACCGACAGTCTGTTTGTTCCGACTATAATATTGAAATTACCGTTTTTTACTACATGCATATGATCTATACATATAAATAAAATTGGAGTGTCTGTTTATAATATTGAAATAACCGTTTTTTACTACATGCATATGAATACAAATACGGTACATAAAACCACTTTTTACAATTTACAATTTTCACTTTTTACAAACAGACACTCCAATTTTATTTATATGTATTGATTACTTGCGTCACAGTGAGATTTTACTTGAAGAACTTTTTGGAGGTCCTATGTGGTTGTTATTTTTAAATTAGTTCTGTAGTTTTAAACAGGAATTGATTCCTTTGCGCATTGTTTTTTTATCTGTTACCATAAAGAAACAGGTAGGTACGTATTATTAATTATATGTCCTATGTATTTTTGTTAATAAATGGTCAAAGCCTGTCCATATTAAAAAAACGTCAATTTGTCTCATCGTTATTTTATGTAGATTACTGAAAAAATAAAGCTACTAGGTAAGTTGTAGGTATTGTTTGTATCTGTCTAGATGATTTCTTTATACATTACTATCTATTTACAAATAATAAGTATTTCAGTATTTATGTCATCTTCCCATATCTTTACAATTTATATTGTGTTGAATTATTACATTGAATTTAAATTTAAATTTATTTTATTACATTGATTAGAATTTATTATTAGTTATGTGTCATATTTTTTAAATACTTACACATAAAAGAAAGGCAATAATAATTGATTCAAAGATATTCCTCTTCATAACACAATCTCTGCTACTATGACGTTGTGTAAATTGTCTAAAAATACGTTGACCTGACCGAATAATTTCTTTTTTCGAATTTTTAAAGTACAAATCCACAACATTAATGCTTTGTTACCAATATTTATTATCATATCTTATCAAAATTTTCTTTAAATCATTATACAGTGCCGCCATCTATCAGATCAGAATAAACTATGAGTTAGATTTTGTATTATGTTGTATGTCATAGTGCACAGTGCTATTACTTCAAAACAATAACTACTAGTAACGATAAAAAGGCTGCATGAAATGGAACGTTAATAATTTAGCCATAGACATTTAAATACGGTGTTGCTATATTAAAATATAATTTTTCATAATTTGTGAATAATTTAATTTAACTAGATTCTTTTAAAGTAAAAGCTATTTTAAAAATTTGCTGACACAAACTCTTTAATATGACATGTTAAAAATAGGGCGCGGCAAGAACATGGCGTCGGCAGTTTCGAATGGTCGGCATGGCGCTGAGTTCACGCATGCGCCTTTTTATCAATGTTCGTCTATGCAAAGACAATATTTGTAATCTGGCAAATTGTCTTTTTTATAAGGTTATGTTTTAGTGTTAATTGTCAAAATTTTCTGCTGAATATTTTTATGAGATTTGTCGAGAATATGGAGTGGACATATTTTATCGTATAGTGAATAAGGAAATCGGTAAATAATTGTCTAACATTTCCTATGAATGGCTGTGTACTCTTGAATTTCATATGACATTGATTTGAGATGTGAACAGGAAAGTGAATACGCACTTCTTACGATATATGATCTACGGCAAGTAATAAATTACAGCTGAACTGAGATAAGTAGTTTAAAAGTTCTCATAATTCATTATAAGTAGTAGTTAAATATCAAAATGACTATGAGTCAGGTGTCTGTATTAAAACTGTACAATGCAGTAATGGACGATGTCATAGCCGGAGTCAGAGATTGTTTCTTGGATGACGGTGTCGATGAACAAGTATTGCAAGAACTAAAACAATTATGGAAAACAAAATTACAAGCTAGCGGCGCCATGGACCCACCAATACCCGAAACTCCAATGCCACCACCCGTGTTACAAAACTTTCAAAAAGCCAATGGCAATAATATGTTACCTAAGAGATCAGTTGATAGCATGATGGCTCAAGGTTCTAGCCAACAAAACTCTGTAGTTGAACATGGTGTACCAACTTCTAATATTCCTGGCACACATTCGCACCATGTTTTGGATCCCAATAATAAAGTACCTGTCCAGTTAACATTGCCCGCTCAACCGGGAGTACCTGGATCACAAGCACGGTCCTTTACTATTCAAATACCGGCTTCCGCGCTGAATGGCAACAAGTTGCATCAGGTTCTTACTGGTCCCATCATTAATGCCACAATAAGTTTGCCACAGCCTCTTGCGGCTACTCTACTTCAACAACACATAAATTCTGCACTAGCAGGACAACAGAATGAATTTGATGGTGGTGGAGGTGGACGCAGTGGTGCTGCTCCATTTTCATTGGATGGTGCGATGGATTCCTCCGATGATGAGGGCTCAAATGTTGGAGATGCATCGGATGATGGGGCAGGTGATGATGATGAAGATGAGGAGTCTGCAGAAGAACGAGCAGAGGAAGAAGAAGAAGAGCGGGATGATAGTGGTGGTGCTGAAGAAGAACCTCTGAATTCTGGTGATGATGTGTCTGATGAAGAGCCTGGTGATATGTTTGATACTGATAATGTTGTTGTGTGTCAGTACGACAAGATAACACGTAGCCGTAACAAATGGAAATTTTACTTAAAAGATGGCATTATGAACCTTGCTGGTAAAGACTATGTCTTTCAAAAAGCAAATGGTGATGCAGAATGGTGAAACAGTTTATAACATATATATATAGACAAACAGTGTGTATTTTTATTAATGGTGTAACTCATTATACCTAAATGACTTTAGTAAGAATGAAAAAGGATCCAAAAAGACATTGGTTGAAATATTATCTCAAATTTATTTTAAAATAAATGACATCATTGACCTTATGAATTGCTTTTGTTATGAATTAAGGCCCTTTATACATATTTTAGTTTCAATCTATGAGTTGATTATTGTATTAGTGTTTTAATATCACACATTGATAATAAAATAGTAATATTCAAAATGCAGATATTATTGCTATTGTTTTAAATTCCTATAAATATTGATATTATAATCCTAATACATATACATAAATTTAATTTAGCGGTGAATTAATGTTGGTGTATTATAATTCTGAATAAAGTCAATGTTGTTATTTCCTTGTAATTAAAATATTAATTGTTTAGAAGTGAGGAGAAGAATCATTTTCAAACTTATAAATTGTTAATGCTAAATCTCTAGCAGAACTGAGCCATTTACTAAATTTCATTCTTAAAATTTTCTGTTCTCAAGACATCTATGTATAAATAAAGGTATTGCTAGTTAGGTGGACCATGTAATGGCTTCATTCTGCAAATGCTTATATTAGAAAATATAAACCAACATTGAAATTGTAATAAATATGTTGATGTTTTTGATATTATGAACAAGTTGCAATTTTAGCTTCACTAAAATTGATATTTCAGAAATACATTCTATATTTAAATATCATACAATACTGTTTATAGGTGTTTTATTATAGTGCCATAAACAAGAAATTACAATAGTAACATGCACCCAGTTAGGAGAAATAATGTAAGGATTGTAATCATGATAACATTCTAATACTGTTAGTCTATCTAAAGTGTGTATTCAAGCTATGATTTGATATAATATTTTTATGCATGTACAGCATATTATATAGTAAGACCCAATCATATTTAGTGAAGTTAATTAGCATTATTACAATTAAATTTCAATTAAGTGTATTTGATATATCTCAATTTATCAGTGTCTATTAGAATAATTTAATCCCCATTTTTATTGACAATATTTTGTATGCAGTATCATATTTAGTTCATTATCAGAAACATCTGTTTATATATTATTATTATTATTATTATTAGTTATTATGTATTGTACATTATAAATTATTTATTTTATTATTCACAAACTATCACATTTAATTTCTAAAAATAATTGAGGTGATCAGGGGATCTTTTTGTAATTACTTAATTAATTGTTAATGCACCAGTAGAAATCTTAAAATATTTTTTTAATAACTATTGATGATAATGTATGTTTGCATTCATTTTGCACTTATAAACAATGAATCTTATCATTTTGACTGAATTACATGTGAAAGTATTGCAAGTATTGGTTATATTATTTGCATATACAACAATAATTATTATCAATAGATAATTTAATTTAATATACCATAACTAGTTTATAAAAGGTATTATGGTTATGTATTAATTATGTTATCACATTAACTGGTCACCACAAAAATAAAAATAGATTGCTGTATTATTTTTTTATTTGCATATTCGCAAATTCGATTAATTTTGCACATTTTGAGTAAAGAAAATTAAGTTAATACATATTATTGTGATATGAATATTAGTAAAACTGTAACTTATAATATTCTTAGCAGCTGCTCATTGAGTTAACAAAGCCAGTAAGTTCTTTAGTTACATCTCAAATAATATAGGTTACTTATGGTTTGTTTTACGCCCCTAGATACATAACGAAGTTTGACGAGGATTGTAATTATAATAAAATATGTTGCATTGAATGATGTGTTTAATTATGAATTTGTAACCACCATACCTTAACCTGTGGGAGTTAGAATAAAGTTGCCTGTGTGTGATATGTGCCTCACATGTGCGAGTAGGAGCTATACTCAAAAATGTTCCTAAGTGTATAATATATTTTTCCTTTTAAATATATATTAATACAGAAAAGATTACAGTGAAAATATTATATATAGATATAAAATTAAGTCACTTAAATAAGGATATGTTGAGGATTAGAGATCGCTTATGCTCATTCTGACATTCTTCGCTAGTGTTCCACCAGAGATTACCGTTAGTACAAGCGAGTACACAATTCCATCATCATCCGTAGGAAAAAAACACTAGGATACCTATATAGATAACAAAGTGTATCAATGACATGCTCACTAACATTTCCAGACAGGTAGCGGAATCTACTTGTAAGGAGTGATTAGCACTAGCCACACAGATTTATTTTATTACTTAATTCAACTTGTAAGACTATCAGTTAGGTAAATTATGATTCTTAGCTGTTTGAATAAAAAGTATGTGTTTGTATTATATAATAGTACAAACAAAACTAAACATGTTAAATTCTATCGTAAAATATAATATTATATTCAGGCATAGTCGTATAGGCTTTACCAAGATAAAACTGTTTTTTATTTTGGTAAAGCCTAATAGACAGGTTTTTTAAAATCCTAACGAAACAAACTTTAAAACATTTTTTAATACTCTCAACCTGCAGCCAGGATATCAGTTTAATATGAAAACTACAACATTATCAGACTAGCTGAGCTGAACTTTTTTTCTTGTTTGTATTTCGAATGTAATAAAACACACTGGCCACTAGGTGAAGTGTATATTAGTGAAAACCGCAAATAAAACGTTTAACCTGTTTCTGAGAATAGATAAAGATAAAGAGACAAAAATTCTAATATAGTGTAATTTGTAATTACGTTGGATTCTATTCGGTTGATAAAGTCCGATTATAGTAGTTTTTCTTATATGTTTTCTACGTCAAGACAGGGATCAATTATATCTGTTAGGTAGGTAGGTGCCACATTATTTCATGAGTTGATTTTTCTACTTAGTTTTCGTCTTGATATTGATCCCTGTATATATCCTCCGTAACTTTTGTTTGAAAAGAACACTAGCCGAGTTCTTTTGCTGAATCTGCAAAAGGAATATTTTAAAATTAAGTTCTATTTGAATAAAAAATCTTTATATTTGTATCTATAGCCACATTTAATGTGAACCCTAAAATACTTATACGTAGTATTCATTGTATGTATTAAGGCTGGTTTAAAATGAGACACGTTCCTAGGTGAGGTAAAATATGTGTAATCAGCTCGCTATCAAAAATGTAAAGACTGTCAAAAAGGTTGCCTTCGGCAACAATAGGTTTTTGGAAAGTGGTTTATCCGATTTAAAAAAAAAGGTATTTTATAGATACACAACAAATCAATAATTCACTTATTGATATAATACGGTTTATTTTATATTTGTAATATGATTTCTAATATTGAAATTTCTTTATCTTCTTTTTTTTCTTCTTTTGGTTAATTACTTGCAACTCCAATCATATATCAAAGAGGCAATGTTGTATTTTACCTATATAATTAAATATAGGACACCATTGAACAATTATTCAATTTTAATTAATAATTTTATACATATTTTGTAATTTCACATAAATATTGGAAGGTAAATTGAGCAGTAGGTAATACCTATATCTATAGGTAGGTAGCAAATACAATAAATTATAGGTTTTCATTTTTGCATATCTATTAAGTCAAAAATAAACAATATAAAATTGTATTTAAACAAATGGTAATAAGCGGGCAGTTAATAGTTTTTTACATTTATTTAGTATTTATATAATGCCAGTTGCATAGTAGGTATCAATGTAATCAAGGATTATATTTATTTTGTACTAATGAACATAATTTTGTCACTTCTCGGTGAACGTTTATATAACAATTTTCCACGATTAATTATACACACAGACTTTTTCATTAGCGAGGGTGTACGAGAAGAGCAGTTTTATATTACCCTCGGGTACAATAAAACTGCCCCGTAATTAAATGATGGGAACATCTATGTAAGGATAGTTATGGGTTACGGTCGGAGATCAAAGAATAAGATCAAAATATATAGTATTATCGCTAAATATCACTCTCATATAAATAAATGAATAATTATTATATGACATCTTATTGATTTACTTATATGACCAGCTTATCCCGCAACTTCATACGTTTGATATTAAGAATAGCAATAACCTCCACTTTATTATACACCTATTCGTAGTTTATGAGTCTCAATTTTTTTGTGAAAAGCTGACTGACACCCGCGAAATTGTACCTAATCTTTTTTTAGGTAATAGATAGTCTACGAATATGTCCTCGTGATACAATGTATTTTCACGAGAAATTGAATTAAGATTAGATTTATAGTGAAAACATAACAAACAGAAAGACCGACATTCTTTCGCACTAATAATATCTGCTATCTGTTACCTAACTTCGATTGTTTAGATTTTCAGATTCAGATTCAGATTATTTTTTTAAAATGAGAGAATATCTGTTCTCGTAATAAAAGTATCTTCGTGTTTTTATGTGTTATCCGGTTAGTTAGGAAAACGTAACATGCGGAATGTCCGTAACATTCCACATTCCACATTTACAATATTTGTAAATATTTATGCAGTTTTTATGAAAGATAAAAAATAATATTTATATATGTCTTCATCGTAGAAAATTGTTGGTTCACCATATAATATTATAGAAGTACGTATACCATATACCTACACCTATTTACGAAATTAAACAATTTTCCACAATGATCAAAAGGTCCCTAGATTTTGGGATATCTATTACGATTGACTGTAGAGGTACATAGTTATATAACTAAGAAACTATCTACATTTGCAGTCTATCAGAACAGAGATACCTTGTAAATTACCTTAAGAGCTTACTTTCGTATCTATATCGACCTACACAATATTTAGGTACACAGTCAAAAAGAAGACACAAAGCCAACAAACAAAGTACGAACCTGTTGAATGCTTATATGTAGGCTCTTAGTTCATTCTCTCTCAGCTCGTCTACGGAACGGTCGACGTTTGTCGAATCTTGCCTTCCCGACACAAATTTCTATTTTTACTCTCTCTTTACAATGTTCACTGAACAAAGAATTAACCTCATTCTTTTGTTTGTTTCAGGATTTCGTGTGTGGCTGTGAGATTAAGTGTTACGTATAGGTATACCGATATAGTTCTTTTTTACTAAAATGTCGTGTTTCGGAGGCAGCGTCTTAATACCAGACTGAAAGCGCATGTAATCGAAGGTGTAAAGTGGAGTGCAGTGATGTGAGTGTGTGATATACAGCGCAGCGTCAGGGAAAGCGCCACCATGTTGCCTACAAATGTTATGTCCTTTATGAAAAAGGTGAGTAAATTTTAATTAGATACACACAATTATGTTTAAAAGTTGAATCTTAGAAAATATTTTTAAGTCCAAGTCGAAGTATTTTTAATTTGTTGGAAAGTTTTTAATAAAGTAACGAAACTTTGTTATCTGTAATCAATCAAAAAGTCACGTAGGGCGTCGACAACAAATCGTCCATTTTGAAATAATTGGAACGTCGCGTTTACCGTAATGCCTACGTCGACAGAACGATTGGATGTTATTGCTACTATGCCTTAATTAACATTCTCTGTGACGTTAACTACCTCCGCGCCGCCTTATGCTACCACATGTTCATTTAAATATAAAAGACCATCATATCATCATTCATATTTTATTTTTTCTCACAATATTAATATATATATATATATATATATATAGTATTCACAATATAAACTACAGTCTGGAAATTACCAGCTCGTATAATATTCATAAAACTAATCAAATTTCTCGAAGAAGTAGTTTAAAATAATTTTAAATCTTTCATATATACCTACTGCGGTCACGTGGCTCCATTTGTAATAAAACATATCGATTTTTAAATTTAACTTTATTTCTTTATGTGAGTTTCATTTTTCATACAGCGACTAATCGTGAATTCTAACGTACTCTAATGATTTTGTGTATTAACTTTTATTTCTGATTGCCTCTCCGGTGAAGGAAACATAGATAACAAACGAAATCAATTTGCAAGACAGTGGTTCAGGCTCGACCCCTGCCAAGTTGTATTTAAATGTGCTGATCGAAATGTTAAGAGTATATACCACGGCGTCGACAATTGTTAATGCTTCTGATCTGGAACAGTACTTATCTGGAACAGTCATTAAATATTCTTATTACAATTATGTTCATTTTTAATACTTATAAATTAATATTTATACATATATAATTTTCTATATTTAAGTTTTGTTGGTATTTAATTGATAACATTTATTGTACCTTCTAGCCGACTATTTAATTGCTTCTCCCGATTCAAAGCTTGCTGCTAGAGAGCGGTTTTAGCGATAAGACTGTCCATTGTATTTCGCCTTTATCATATCTTATTAAATATTAACATTTATTATTTGGAGAATATTTATTATTATTAAATCTTAATATATATGTACATCGAGAAATATCGTCTTACGATGTTATTGCTAAGTACATAGTTTGTTCCTAGTTAATGACAAGCGTTCATAAGCGCTTCTGTGAACTTCACGTACATTAACACTCCGCAGAGCGGAAACATCTCTCTTTCATCAAAACTATATTCTGGAATTTCGTCTCTCTATATTTATATCGCATGCAAAATAATAGCGTACCATATAATATCAGATTTCGTATTTAAAATGTGATTTACAAATCTTGTTTGCTGTACAGTAACTCTTTCACTCGTTGAATAACGCCAACCATAAATAAAATCTAATAATAAATGTCTGTCGAATAAATAAATTTGCTTGTCACAAGTTCATTATTTATATACATGTCGCTTCAGCTAGCTGTTTATCAGCAGAAAATTTCCAAATGTTTCAGCAAAATGTTATACAAAACAAACTTATGTAGACCCATATATTGTGGCAATAGCGCAATTAACGAAACAGCCCCTGTGTAGCTTGCGCACCGTGCACCTTTCACGACGTAGGCATTTTTGTAGCTGTAAGCGTAGCTCGTAGCCATACTTGTAACAAGGTATGTATTGCAGCTACGCCAACACTACAATGACAATTACCGATTCCATATAAAAGATATTCTAGAAACACACACTACTATCCAGTATGATATATATAACCAATCGTAAATAATAATATGAAAGTTACGAGAGAGAGCGTATGTGTGCCAGAATATATGATTGTATGATATGTAAAATAAGTGTAGTACTCATCTGTCTACATCTGTTTGACTTAATTAGTTAAGTAAGTTAGGTTAATAGCAGTAGAGTATGGTTATTTTGTAATCTGTGGCACCGAATATCACATTATTATATTATAATACTAGCCGGCTAATGTTGTTTCAAGATTGTTTTGCCATATAAATTAAAATTGCTATTGAAAAATAGGGGATGATGGAAGAAGAGTGAAAAATTAGGGTTGTATGTGTTTTTCAATCCTAAATAATAATAAAATGAAAATAAAATATTATGACGAAAAAATAAAAATATATATTTAGGGGTGATAAAAAATAGATAGTAGCCGATTCTCAGACCTACTGAATATGCATATAAAATTTCATAAAAATCTGTCAATGCGTTTCGGAGGAGTATGGTAACTAATATTGTGACACGAGAATTTTATATATGGGATATTAAAGAAAAATGTTAAAATGAATCGAGTAAGTAATATATTCCATTAGCTCTATAATAAACCTCATCTAGGTAGTACAAAGTGCACTTTTATCAAAGGTATATTTATAGGTATATTTATTACGGAAAATTATTAATTAAAAGCTACCTTTGATGAAATTCTGATGAATGCTCTTATTATGAAGGAGGATACACTTTTCTCTTCATTTTTGAATCTCTTTTACCCACTTATACTTTAAACTTAGATTAGATAAATATTACTATATACTTACTTAGAAAAAATCTATAAAATAAAATGTACATATACAGTATAAAATAAAATGTACATAGACAGAAGCTTTCTATAGACATTTAAAAGCCAATTTCACTTTATTTCATAGCTTTGAGTTGAAACAAAGAATCTTTAAATGAGCAAAATGCTTCTTAAATAAATGTTTTATCGACATTTTTTTCGTTTTAAATGCTAATTCCTCTAAGACGTGGAGAGTATCCTTTGAAAGAAAACCTTTGACTCCATACATGGTATTTATTTTAATAAACGTACAGGAATATATTTACGATTAAAACTGAATTAAAACCGAATGCTGATTATGTACTACATTGTATATATGATCCTTGTCCTATCGTATCTCTCGCCATCGACAGGAAATTCATCTTTACACTTTGGAACCTAAGTGATCACGGACAGTGCGGTTTCAGAGGAATTTCCTCCCACGCACGCTCAAATTGTGGAATGAATTACCTGCGAAGGTTCTCTCTAGAGACTACCGCATAAGGTTTTTTAAAAAGGGTATATTAAGATTACTTAGAGGTCGCCAATGCGATCATAATACCTCTGGTGTTTCAGTTGTCGATAAACCACGTTAGCCTTTTACCAACAGATGGGCGGTAACCTTGATTGCGGCCAATGTAGCATAAAAAAATATAAGATTATTCCAGATGACGTAATTACTTTTTGTAATAGTACGTTTAAATCCAAAGTGAGACAAACCTATCGTCGTGGCGGCGTCGTGGGAGTAATTTTAGTTTGTAGTTACATGCCATTACTGGTGAGATAGTTAAAATATAAATAGATAGACACATAAAGTTTTTAATGATTGAATGGCTAGATTCGATCTAATCTGATCTATTTTGGAGTTCAAATCGGACCATATACCACTTTGTCACGATTCTTTATTGTATGGAACAAAATTTTATATGAACATGCGTATACTGGAATACCATATTAGGATCGCTTACCAAGTGAGAAACTTGGTAGAGGTGAACATAACATTTAATTGTCCATTATACAGCCGAGTAAGCGTAATATTAGAAGCAGAAGTAACAATGACTAATAATAATATACATAGTTGTGGATACAGCTGAATCTTGGAAATTAACTTAAACTTAGTCCCATCTTAATGGGCAAGTTTATAAATAGAAAGGTTGTTTGCATAGTTTAATGTGATAGAAGCATAAATTACGCTAAAATTGTCTGGACCGTACCAGGCAAGACCGGCAATTAGAAGCATAATGGCTGATCAGATCCACCCACCAACTTTTGTCAATAGATATATAGATAACTCATCTATTTGTACCTATAGCATACATACGACAAAATAAAAATACAGTAAAAAAAGAACATTAAATATATCACAAACTAGTAACAAAATTGAAAAAGAAAAAAAGCAAGTGTACGCCACAGTGTTATCTGATAACACACAATGAATGTACGTTACTAGGTCTGTGTACTGCAGCAGTACAAATAAGCCATAGTTCAACATGTTTTTTTACCAAGAAGCATACACTGATTTTCAGTTACAGCATGGAGTTATGGCCTGGTAACAATATGTATATTAAAAATTTTAAAGGATAATAATTATTTGTGATAGACATAATAGTATATGAGTAATAATGATAAAATAAAACACAAACGTATGTTATTAAAAGTTATTTAAATTAACGAATTGTAATAATTAAAAAATATGTATAAAAATTTTCAAACTTCACGATAATTGTCTGAATACAATTAACATTTTTTTTAATATTTGAAAAATATAATATATATAATATAAATTTTATATGTCTGGAATTACAAAAGAATGTATTTCAGTACTTATATCAGTTGTCAAGTATTCATAACACAAACTGCTTGGAATTGGATGGTACATATTTGGAAGTTTGTTCTTTATTTAAACGATTGGATGGTTTTACTAATATTGGATACACAGGTAGACTATATTCTAAACATAACACCAAGTAAACTAGATATCTATTATATCTATACCATTAACTCGACAGCAGTATCATATGTTGTGAATATGTGTCATTGTGTGCATTTACCTCTGAAAACAACGAAATCAGCGATTGATATTTCAACTTCTAGTCTTATCATATTAACCTTTTTAACTTACCTGTTAATATTTCATAAATATCTAAATTGCTAATACAAATCCGAAAGTCTTTCATTATAATTGCTTTATTAAAAGTTATATAAAAATCGTCACTAAAAACTATTAAATTTCGAAGAATCAAAAGGTATTACGAATTTTTATTTAATATCTATGTACTTGTAAAAAAATTGCGTAAAAATATACGAGTACATATATCTAAGAACGTTCAAAAATAGACCTTAATATTTAGACCTTGATACTAAAATAACAAAATACAACCACAAATATGATAATAAACAACTAAATAAAAAGTTTATTTTATATCTATACAA